CAGAGCCGTAAAGCCAGTTATTAAAAAGAAGAAGAAGAAGTAGCGGGAGTTAGTAAAGTCGCGCATGCGCAGATTTAAGCGCGTTGCGCCTGCGCGGTCAGTTTATATAAAGAAATATATTTATTTCATGAGTTTTTCTTTTGTAATATTACGATATTATTACCTATTTATTAACTTGAATAACAAATAATTTTAATATTTCACTACCAATATTTACAATGTTTCTTTCGAGGTCAAAATATTCGCGAAATTTTTGTTCAAGCAATTCAACAAACGCGATAAAATTGTCAGGAATTATTATTAAAATACCCTATTGAACACTATCTTTATTAAAATCTTTGTAATGGCTGAAAAAATAATCTTTTTCCATATTTATAGGTTGTTCAGATCTATTAACGTACAGTTTTATTTTCTAACATTTGTGGTTCTCGAGACATTTTCTAAACAAATATCGCGACACATATACTAAAACATTTATTTTTGGTAAATCAAATAGATAATCATTCTGGGGGCACGGCAGGGGGGGGGGGGGGGGGAGCAAGTCGAGCAAAAAAGCGGCCATTTTCGATCCCCTATGACGCCCATTACACGGTAGGTTTTGCTGTCAGTTTTACAACAATCACGGTTGTGATTGACGAATAACCTATCGTGTAATGCGGTTATTGACGGTTGCATGAAATTGATTGACAAATATCTGGATATTTTGATTTTTACGTCAATCAACTATCAGTCACGAATTTTGATTGAACGTGTAATGGCATTTCGTCAATCTCGCGTCAGTCAACGCTTAGACAGCAATGGAGGCGGACGCAGAATATATTGAAGAGGCTGCTTCTACGCGCTCGCGCAGCCCGTCGCCACTCCCACCAAATGTGTTTCAGCCAGAAAAAGATTTTATTTTAAATTTTCAGTCTCTCCCCGAATTGTGGGACACGAAAAACCCCGGGTAGGTTGGATGCCCCTAATACCAGCCACGCCCCTAATTCCAGCCTTTCCGCCTTTTTACTTCGTAAATAAGATTTATAGTAGTCTTAACTACAAATATGGTCGGCTAAAAATTCTTCGTAATTAGAGGAAAGTATATTTCAAATATTACCTCACAGTTTTAAACCTAACAGTGTTAAATTAAAAATCAAAACATAAGCATATTTTACATTAGCTCATCTTTAGGCTTTTTGATTTGTATGAATGTGACTATAGACATAGTAATGCAGCTATTTTTGTTTAAATTTATAAGTTTTTTATTTTCTTATAGTGGAAATTAATGGGGCTGTAATTAGATATACGAAATTTATGGAGTGCATAATGTCAGTCGCCCGACTGTTATTTGGTTTGACGTAAATAATAAGAAGTACCTTATTTCAACCACGTAATATAAATCAGGGCTGTCATAAACTAGAATAAATACCATTAATTTGAACTCACACAGAAAACCAACGTAGAATAGCAGCTTAACGCTGCTGTGTTTCGTATGGTGAGTGTAGAGAACCGGAGACCCTTTTTACTGGCAAAGAGGCATTCCATCTTAGTCCTCACGGGTGACAACGCATCTGTATCTTGAGTCTATATTGAGGATAGATGTAGATGTCTATGGGTCATAGTAGCCACTTACCATCAGGTGGACTGTGTGCTCGTTTGTCACCCTATCCTATATAAAAAAAACATAACTTATTTTATAGTTAAGTAAGTTAATAAGTTATGGTCAATTCGTCTATATTTTAAAATTGGTGTTTGATTTAAAAGTTTAACAAATGATACGTACTTGCTTTTCAGACATTTGGTATATGTTAAGAACACCATACAATATTTAATTATTTTTTGGGAAAGACAAAAACAAACAATAAATGTAATTAACTACAACTTAGTAATACTAATTTTATTATAACTTAAGAACATAAATGAAAAAGTCATAAAAAGGAAAGTGGTTCAGGACCATGCTTTGCGGTAGTCTATGGAGGATGATGTTCTGTAGTCGACTTGTGAAGGGCTGAAATGATGATAAAGATTCAAAAACTTGGATGATTAAATTATAAGAAATCGGTGTACTATAATATATAATTTTTATTATAATATTATTTTAATTAATTGTTTAGTGTTAAAAGATAAAATGCAACTGCTTAAAGCTAAACCACAGTAAGGTAAGAAGTAAAACATTAAAATAAAATAATTGTTGTCGTCTATCTTAATACATATTCCATACTTGTGACATGCATGATTTAAAATGAAAAGTTGTTATGAATTTATTTCAGTGCCCCTAAAATTTACCTACAATAGGTACCTACCAAAAACTCAAAAGGCATAGCCCTATGCTGTGCTGGCATTAGATACACAAAAGGAAATTGAAATTGGCATTAAAAGGCTAGTAATAGGGGCATCCACCCTATACGAATAAATGTACAAGTTAAGCTTATTTTTCGTCCATAAATGCGTTTTAAATAAAGCCGCGTATCGATTATGCACTCCAAGAGGTCTAACATTTGCGCGCGTTAAATTAAAATGGGTAAAATGATATTAAATATTACAATTTTTCCTATTCGTTTTTTTTTCTTTTTCTTTTCAAGATATAAAATTATAATTAAATGGTGAATCGAAAATGAACTTAGTTTATAGGTACGTCCTTTCACTCCGAAAATTTGGATTTGACTGACGATCAGTCAGCATGAGCGTGTAATGTCCAAATTATTCCATCATTCAAACCTCAGTCATGATTAATCGAACTGATTGACGCTTGCCTAGGCGTGTAATGGGCGTCTATAACTTCGTTGTGAAGAAAACTAGAAGCCTGAATTCAGTAACAAAGCATACATTATAAACACGGTATATTTCAAATTTCATTAAATTTGAACTAGTAGTTTAAGTTTAAAAACTAGTCAAAGTTTATTAATTTTGTCACTCACTGACTGACTGATCATCAAAACCCTAAGGTACTTCAGACGTCAGCACAGCAGCTACAGCAGACGTAGAAGCTTGAAATTTAGAATACAATTAGTGTTTAGTGTATACATCAAGGAAAAACTAAAATATTTTGTAATTTCGGTCCAGCTTTCTAGATACACCAACTGCATAAATACTTTGTTATCCTTTATAAATATACAGGCTGGTCCAAACAGTGAGGTTATAAATTTTTTTTGATTCCTCACACCTATGGGTATCCGAAAATACCCTATGTATGTTCCGCGATTTTTTGTAGTTTTCGAGTTATGATTTTTTTTATCCTTTTTTTGAAAATGTACACCCTAAACAGCCTAACATTTAAAAAAAATTTAATTGTGAGATTTTTTCCAAGTTTTTTGTTTGTAGCATGATCCCTATGAGTTGCCCTATTATGCATAAAATAATTAACTTCCTAACATTAACCGAAGATACAATAATTTTAATCGAAACTTAAAAATTTTCTGTCAGGAGAGTGGGGCTTGAATTTTCAACATTAAATGAAAAATAGTAATAAATGATTTCATACTTTCTAATTACTTTTAAAAACTTGGCAGCACCTTAATCTTTCATAATAACACAAAAAAATGACACTTAATAGGCCAGTTTTTCTGTTACAGACTTCTGAAGTTACTCAGGCAGAAAACTACCTGAATAGTTAGTTTGATTTAAAAAATCTTTTTATTATTTCTAGGGCTCAACTAAGATAGTAAATGCTTCAGGTTAGCAAAGAAAACTACTTATTGTTAAAACGTGACATTTATTAAGGTATCATTTTACTACAAACTACATGTTTTTCTTTTATTTCACTCAAACTAAATGATAGCACATTCAGTCACAAACACACGCTCAGTCCTGCCAGTCGTTCACTGCTTTCCCGCGTGCAACCACTACTCACGTTTACGTTTATTTGGATCTCTTATTTGACTACCTTCGATTTGTTTCCCGGATTCTTGATTTGCCTTACGATTGACCTGTGCTTGTTTTATGGACCTTGAGTTGCCTAGTGATTTGGATTACTTTCAGAAATTAGTTATTTTCTCAGTCAATACGCAGAGATGCACTATTTCTACGGCGTTGCCCAAGAAAACGGCGCATTAGCGGCACGGCTTTATCGAGAGCAACTGGAGCGGCGAGGAGAAGTGTTAGAGCATTACCCAGGCTTCAGGGTTTTTAATAACACCCACGAAACCCTGATGGCTGGACGCGTTCCTGGGCGTAATCAACGTCGCGAGGGACTACCCAGAGTGGATCCAGAAAGAAGAGATGTAATCATTGAAAAAGTAGAAAGAGACCCTTCTACTAGTTTACGGGCGATTACGAGAAGGTCTGGAATCCCAAGGACTTCAGTTTTAAGAATACTGAAATCAGGTTAGTGTATTTTATTATTTTGTAGACCTCTTTATTCAAAATCCCAACACATTGCTGCACTGCCATTTCAAATCACACTCATTTAATTTACTGTGAATTGTCGATGTCTAATGTGTTGTGTGTGCGTGTAAAAGAGAGAGATGTAGAGACCCTTAAACAAGCGCTCGTAATTCAAAAATAGGTGCTAGGACTCACACTCACACTCTAGCGAATCCCAACTTTTAGTTTCACGCTCACGTGCTCTATCGGTACGTTCCTCTATTATTGTGTACAATGACAACCTACAATAAAAATACTAATAATTTTTTTCCAGGGGGATATCACGCGTTTCATATTCAGCGTGTTTAACAACTTAACGACGCAGACTATCCAAGGCGTGTGGCTTTCTGCCAAATAATGCTGCGGAAGACCCGGATTTTTTTAACAAGATACTCTGGACGCATGAATCCCGGTTTGAAAGGACTGGCGTCTTTAACATTCACAATTATCATAGCTGGGCCATTGAAAACCCAAAAAAAGCAAGGCAGTCAAATTTTCAGAACAGATTTAGTATCAACATGTGGTCAGGAGTCATAAATGGAGAAATGGTTGGGCCCTTTGAATTGTCGGCTAGGTTGAACGGGTCCCAGTACCTGAACTTTCTACAAAATAACTTAAATGGTTTATTGTTTGAAGTTAATTTACAAACGAGGAGGGATATGATATTTCAAAATGACGGTGCTCCTTGCCATTTTGAAAGACAAGTGAGGGAGCACCTCAACAGAACTGTCCCAGGAAGGTGGATTGGGCGTGCAGGGCCAATCGAATGGCCTGCACGCTCACCAGATTTAAACCCTATAGATTTTTTTATTTGGGGATTCTACAAAGAGATGGTGTATGCTAGAGAAATTAATTCGGAAAATGAATTAAGGGAAAAATTGAGACAGTGCGCAGAAAAAATCGGAGAAAATACGAATGCTCTTCGAAGACTAAAAGCAAATTTTTTAAGACGATGTAGACTGTGTATCAAAGTTAATGGCCGCCATTTCGAAAATTTACTTTAAATAAATTTATCTTAAATTATTTACTAGTTTTATTATGAATCTTGAAATCATTTGTCCAGAACGTAGTAAAATGATACCTTGTTGTCAATAAATTTTAAACAATAAGTAAAGACACTGGATGTTATTTTTGCTAACCTGAAGCATTTACTATCTTAGTTTAGCCCTAGAAATGATAAAAAGATTTTTTAAATCAAACTAACTATTCAGGTAGTTTCCTGCCTGAGTAACTTCAGAAGTCTGTAACAGAAAAACTGGCCTATTAAGTGTCATTTTTTTTATGTTATTATGAAATATTAAGGTACTGCCAAGTTTTTAAAAGTAATTAGAAAGTATGAAATCATTTATTACTATTTTTCATTTAACGTTGAAAATTCAAGCCCCACTCTCCTGACAGAATTTATTCAGTCTCTCTCTAAAGTAAATTCGGGTAATTTTGGTACAACCTCTCAAATGTATAGGAATTCACCCAATAGGTCTATGAGGCTTAAGGCTTTGGCCAAAATTACTCGGATTTACCTTAAATAAACAAAAAGTTTAAACGTTACAGAAAACAAAGGTTTCAAATTCCTGCGAAATAAGTTTCATATGGGCGCCCACTGTGCCACTAGTAGTATACACTCATCACTGCCCTCTATTCAGTGACACTCATAGACGCGTGTTACATTTTTTTTAGTTTGAAGATAGCGTTCTTCTTTTCATCGTTACCATCATTACAGCCTTTCATAAGACCACTGTTGAACATAGGCCTCCCCCAAGGAATGCCACAAAGCACGGTCCTGAGCCACCTGCATCCATCGACTTCCTGCATATCTTACCAAGTCGTCACTCCATCTAGTGGGGGGTCGCCCTACACTTCGTCTACCGGTACGAGGCTGCCACTCGAGAACCTTTCTTCCTCATTGGTTGTCAGTTCTTCGAGCTATATGGCGGGCCCACTGCTACTTCAGCTTACTAATCCGTTGGGCTATGTCAGTTACTCTGGTTCTACTGCGGATATCCTCATTTCTAAGTTTATCACGCAGAGAAACCCCGAGCATAGCCCTCTCCATAGCTCGCTGAGCGACCTTGAGCTTCCTTATCCGGCCAGCAGTGAAGGACCACGTCTCAGATCCGTAAGTCATCACTGGCAACACGCACTGGTTGTACAATTTGGTTTTAAGGTCTTGAGGTATGTCCAACGAGAAAATGTGTCGTAGTTTCCCGAACGCTGCCCAGCCGGGTTAAATCCGTCGATTGACCTCTCGGTCGAAGTTGAACTTACCTAGTCGGACTATTTGTCCCAGGTAAACATACTCATCAACAACTTCGAGCTTAGTACTCCCAACAACTACCGGCATAGGTGTGACATGGACGTTACACATGATTTTTGTTTTATCCATGTTCATCTTAAGACCTATCCGTTGGGAGACACTATTGAGGTCATTATGCATAGTGCTTAGGTCCTCCAGCGATTCTGCCATAAGGACTATATCGTCGGCAAATCGAAGGTGAGTGATGTATTCGCCATTGATGTTCATACCGTATCCTTTCCAGTCCAGAAGCTTGAAAACGTCTTCCAATGCAGTGGTGAAGAGTTTCGGGGATATAACGTCACCCTGTCTTACACCTCTTTGCAATTGGATAGGTTTCGTACTCTGGTTCTGTACTCGGATAGCCATCGTAGCCCTACTGTACAAGCATTTCAGCACTTCGATATACCGACAGTCAACTTGGCACCGCTAAAGGGACTGCAGCATCGCCCACATTTCGACGGAATCAAAGGCTTTCTCATAGTCCACATACGCCAGATATAGTGGCAAATTGTACTCCTCGGACTTCTGTACAATTTTCCGAAGGGTATGTATGTGGTCTATGGTGTTAAAGCCTTTTCGGAAACCGGCTTGTTCGGGGGGCTGGAAGTCGACATGTCTGCGCGAGACGATCCGTAATGACTCTCGAAAACAGAACGTAGACGTGGCTCAGAAAGGAAATCGGTCTGTAGTTCTTCAAGAGAGCGTTGTCGCCTTTCTTGAAGGACAAGACCACCGCACTTCTGCTCCACTCCTTCGGAGTAGTGCCACCATGAAGGACGGAATTAAAGAGCTTCTGAAGGACTTCAAGTACCGGTTTTCCACCCGTTTTCAAAAGCTCCGCTGTAATTCCGTCCTCACCTGGGGCCCTGCCGTTTTTAAGGTGCTGGAGAGCCATTCTAATCTCGCTCAGACTGACGTCCGGGATATCATCGGAATAGTGTCGGATAAGACTCGCTCTTGGATCATTACTCACACTTAAGTGTGGCTCCAACGATGATGTGTACAGCTGCCCATAGAACCTCTCAATCTCACTCAAAATCTCAGGTGTCCCGGAAACGACGCTGCCACACTCGGTCTTCAGCTTCAACAATTGACTCTTTCTGGCAAGACAGATCTCTAGCAAAGACTATGGGGCCCTGGTTCCGCTCGATCGCTTCTTTAATACGAGCAGTATTAAAGTTGCGTAAGTCCCGCCGCATGCATTTGGAGATCTGTCTGTTCAGTTGCCTGTATGCTGTCAAATCTACTGAAGACTGCAGCTTCATATCCCGTCTAACAGCCATGAGATTATGAGTGTGATCGGAGAGTTTTTGTGTTCTTCTGCGGCGGGTCTTGCAGAACTTAGTTCCGACCGCATGAACAGTTTCCACGAGCTTGTCATTCATATCGTCCACTGCATTGCAATCTTCTAGGCACTGAAAACACTTCTAGGAGCTGAAAGATTTCGGGACCTTGGAATAGAGCACGAGGGGGACGGAGCGTTGACTTCATTAGACGAGACCTCTTCAACTTCACGTTTAGATTCAGTGTGCCTCTAACCATTCGGTTATCGCTACCAGTTTTCACTCACGCGATCACGGTGACATCACTGAACAGTTGTCGTCTGGTCACCATAATGAAGTCAATTTCATTTTTGTCGAACCGTCGGGGCTCGACCAGGTCCACTTCCTGTGGGGCCGTTTCTGGAAGAAAGAGTTCATCATAAAAAGTCCCTCTTTCTCCATGAAGTCGGCCAGCTGCTGGCCCCTTGGGTTCCGTTGCCTTATTCCGAAATTCCCTATTTTCAGCTCACCGTTCTCTCTTGTGCCTAGTTTTGCGTTGAAGTCTCCCATTAACACCGTATAGTGGGTTTTGGAGGAATGCGTGGCTCTAGAGATATCCTCATACATTTCCTCCACCTCCTCATCGGGGTGTGCCGAGCTTGGTGCGTAGACCTGTATGACCTTCAGCGAATACCGTTTGGTGATTCTGAGTATGAGGTACGCCACCCTCGTCGACACACTCTCAATCTTTACAACTTCTTCTTTGGTAGACAGTAGTTGTGTTCTGCACTGACCTGTATATATGGACTGGCTATAACCGTGACATAATGACGCGATTTGATTTTCGCCATTTGGGCGCTGACAGCAGAAGTGAACGTCCACGGAACTAATAATAGAGATAAGGCAGTATGAATAAATATATCGATAAGAATTCTATACTCAGGCCTACCCGTAAAATCCATTATATTTATGTATCATATAATAAAATGCCATACAATAAATAAATGTATCAATTAGGCCTTAGACGCCAGCTTTACACTTCATATAAAACAAGAATCGACGGTGCGTAGATCTATCAACGTTTTTATTCGTAACTATAGAACGGATTTTGTTCCGGGTTTCAAATGAGAAAATTCCTACGCATACCTGCATTGCGGGGGCAAGAACGGATTATTGTCGGACTTGCACCTATTAAAACCCCATGATGTTCCACCTTCACTACAAGTGACAGGGCCACGGAAACGCTTTCAAGCACATCCGCGGCCCCACCAGTGAGGACCCCTCTTTAGTTGAAGACGTCCCTCCCGACTTCCCGCGCCCGATATGTGGAGGTCATGGAGCCAAGAAAAAACGAGCACTCGGAAGCACCAAGTGGTACAGCCCCGCCAAAGTCGCAGAGGCGCATTACCATACCAACATTCGAAATAAAAATCTAATACGTTTATACTTACTGCTACTGGTACTACCAGTAAATATTGTTGGTATACTGCACTTTTTCAAAGTGGTGCGTTTCTCATGTCTAATAAAACGGTCGTCTGTGAAGTGTTTAGAACAAAGATAATCATTTTGTTTCAGACGCCAATTCACAATTTTTGTTCTTTTTAGCCATAATTTTAGTCTAGGTTCTAGTTCTAGGTAGGTTGGTTGTGAACAGATATGGGTAGAACAGAACAGGTTCTTTTCTGAACATCGATAAGTATTATAGACAAGGAACTCAACAACCCTATTGAATTTTACTGTTTATCAAAACTCAGTAATATAAAGACAAACATGTTGGTAATTACGATATTAAGATTGGCTACAAATTCACTTACTTGTAGAATAGAATGTTATCCCACTTTCCTTTTGGTAACGAGTTTTACATATTACGCACACTCTTATTATTACTAAAAATAATTTTTATTATGTAACTAACATCAAACATAATCAAACCACATAAAATACTTAATTTTTTAGTTTAAAAATTCAAAATACAGAGATATGATTTAAATAATACAACAGACTTTGGCATATTATGTCAATTTTAGTTCCCGGTACGGACAATGATGGCGCTTCTAATCGGCATGAGCATTTTGTATGGCATAGCCAGTCCAGCGTACTTCTATACATAGAGGTCAGTGTTGTTCTGTGAGTTTGAGATACTAAGGAAGCTTTTACTAATAGTTTCGAGGCAAGACTTTGTAAAATTTATAAATTGTATCAGACAACGACGAAAATCGAACCTTATCATGGATTTAACGGGTAAGATTGTTTATGTTCTCATAGGTAGGAATGTCATTTATATTTTAATTATACTATATATTAATTATACTATTAATAGATAAGTATGTTAATTTAACTTTATGTCATTGTCTTGTTCATAGAATAAGGATGATAAGCGAGCACACAGTCAACCTGATGGTACATAAGTATATGTTTATAGACATCTATATTTATCTTCGATTAA